ACAAAGACCTATTCCTTCTAGAAGAGCCCTGCTCCTCCTAAATCCCTGTGCCTCCTATAAAGCCCGCATGCCTCATTACAAAGTACAACTCCTCTTACAAATCTCAGCACCGTAACACCCCTTCTCATTAGAAATCGTGCTCCTCCTACCAAGCCTGCTCCACCGTCCAAAACCTTGTTCTTCCTACCAAGGCCTGTTTCTCTTTACAAAACCCTGTTCATCCTACATAGATCAATTTATAGTCCATCATCTCAAGCTTATCCAGACTTCTTTCCCCTTCTATAACACTTAGCTCTCTTACCACAACCACAGTCATTGATGTTTGTTTGCCCTCCCATTAGAGTGTGAGCTTTGAAAGAATGCTGACTTAGTTACTGTGGTATATCCCCACCCTCACAGACACGCACACTTGCATAGTTACTGGCACCAGTATACAGTGGGGAAAGAAACTGAATTTCAGAAAGACAAGCATTGCTGATATAGATTTCAGCACTTTGCCAGACAGTCTCCTCTCCCCCCACTGGCTCCATCTCTGACTTCAGAACTTTGGCATAGTAAGTATATGAAAGATGGCAAGGTTCCAGGTGGCCATATTTTCACTTTAAAAATAGACACCCTGACCCTCTTGTGTAAGATCCCAGTATTAAGATTTGTTCCTTTGGGTGGACAGCGTCTCCTCTTATAATAAAAGTTTCTAGAGGAAGGCTGTGTGGCATCAGATCACTTGTCCCACCTGCTTTGGTGAGCCTCAAATGAGGTGACAAGCTAAAGTTGGCTTAAGTGATCATTAGTCAGTAGATATACATGAAACCAATGGCCCAAGTGGAACACCTGGGCGAGCAGGAATAGCGCCCTAGAAAGGAAGCCAATTCTGTGAAGCGTTATCTGCCAAGGAAAACAGGATCTCAGCAGTCACCTGTTAGATCATGCGCTTTTAGACATACTGTGCACCTCCTCCCCTTGCAAACATGCTTCCCTCTTCACCACTGGCTTATTAAGTACTAGGAAGGCAGGAACTGTCCTCCTTTTCTCACCATATTCCCAGATTCATATACCAGACAGTGCTGGAATGATGGGTGAAGAAACAAATTCCCATCCATTGGGCTCTGGCATGGAGCTGTGGTTCCCAGGGATCTTGCTCACATCATGGTGTCAACCAGTCCCCAGCCAGCCTCTCTTTTTCCCTGTCTTTTTCTCTCCCTTCCTTTTCCTCTTCTCTGAAATTATCTTACTGAAGTTCTCAGCACGTGGGACCTACTGGGACCAAAGTTGGGCATTCATGCTAGACCACAAAGGCCTGAAGAACAGGGGCCCAGGCAAGGGCTGCTGTCCAGTAGCCTGTGGCTTCCTCCCCTTCCCCAGGTCCAGCTCTGTGTTCTTAACTCCAGGCAACTGGCCCACAACTGCATGGCACTGACTTCAGTGGGAGGAGGGAGAGGCTGAGCAGAGGAGATACAGCAGCGCACGCCAGCCGGCTCTCAGGGAAAGCAGACCCCATTATTTCTGTCTTCTTTTCTCTCCCCTCCTTTCTGCATTTTTTCATCCTCACTATCGTCCCCTACCTCTCTTATTCTGTTTTCCCTCTTCTTCCCTCTCTACCTTGCACTTTTGTTTTACCTGTTTCCCTCCTCTGTTGGTCTGTTCTCCATCCTCAGCCACTTCCAACAATCTCCCTTCCTTTTCCCACGTGTTTCTTCCTTGCCTCTCCCTTCTCCTCGTCTGTTTCCAGTTCCTTTCTGTCATTTTGTGTACTCCTGTTTATAGCTTCATTTCATTCTCTTTATCCTTTTTCTTTCTCTTCGCCCTCTTCTTCCAGATCCAATTCTTCTTTCCTTTTGGTCTTCTGCCCCACTCCAGGAGTCACTCTCCTTTGCAAACCAGATTTCCACTCACTTCACACACACATACAGTGGGAAATGGAAACAGCAGAGAGCATCTTGGAGGAGAACTTGAGCTTGGATCCTTCGGTAGATGCTGCCAACCTCCAGCCAGACCTCTCTAATAAGGCCCAAGGGCCAGCAAGGTAACAGCCTTTCTCAGAAGGTAAGATCAGTTTGTTAGGACTGACATAATAAAATACCACAGGCTAGGTAGCTTAAACAACAGAAAATTATTTTTGTCAGAGTTCTAAAGGCTGGAAGTCCAAAGTCAAGGTGTTGTCAGGTTTGGTTCTTCCTAAGGCCTCTCCCCTGGGCTTGCAGATAGCTGCTTTCTCCCTGTGTCCTCGCATGGCCTTTCCTGTGTTCACAGGCACCCCAGTGTCTCTTCTTCTTTTAAGGCCATAAGTCATATTGCACTGAGGCCCTCCCTTATAACCTCATTCAATCTAAACCACATTTTTAAAGGCCCTATGTCCAAACGTAGTCACATTCTAAGGCTCTGGGGGTTACAGCTTCAACATACAAATTTGGGGAGGACACAAATTCAATCCAAAACAGAGCTATGCAGTGGCCTACAGACCTGGCTCCAAACGCAGGGTCATTTTGTCGTATAACTGGGAAATCTACCTAATCTCACTGAGCTTCAGTTTCCTCATTTATGAAGCAGAAATCATTATAATGTATCCCATAGGTTTGTGGAGGTATGAAATGTGTTACAAAGCAATCAGAGCAATGCCAGAGGACACACTAAAAGACAGCACTGTTGTTTTCAATCTCTATCTGATCATCTGCAGATTGCAACCCTTAGTTATATCAATGTTCTGTATTGATTTGCTTTAAGACCTAAATTCTGCCAAGTAACCAAAATCCTGCTGGCTTAGAGCTTTTCCATTCACATGATGGTTCATAAAAGTCATTCCCACTGAATGTCCTGATACATAAAGGACCTATTTATAGCACAGGGTCTAGTGCATAGTAGGCACTTTCGAAACGTCCTCCCTTTCTCTCACACTCATTTATTCATCAGAACAGACTTATAAGGCAGGCATTATTAACTCAATCTCACTGATGTGAATCTGAATCTAAGTAACTAGCAAGCAATCACCAGGGATGTACTTGTGTCTCCACCATGGGTCTGTCTTCTTCCAAGGGTAGCCCTGTCCCGCCACACTGGCTCTTTGGGTTTGAAAGCTGAGAGATCTAGAGAAGACTGTCCTTAGGCCCTCCTGGCCACTGGAAGAGGAGCAGTGTGGAGGACAGACACTTGGAGGCCAGCGTGTGTCAAAGACAACATGTATGTCATTCATGTGGTCACACTGTCTTGAGCACCCATAACATACCAGGCATTGTGCAAAGCTCTGGGACTTGGTGGTGAGCTGAACAGGTTCCACCTTTACAAGAGCAGAGTTTGTAGTATTGTATGCTAAACACATACAATAAGTACATAATAAAAAGACTGGAGGTGAATGTTCTGAAGAGAATAAGCATGATGAGAAAGAATGAGAGGACTTTTCTAAGAAAATGGCATTGAAGCTGAGACCCAAAAGATAAGCTGGAGCTAGCCAGGTGAAGGGCAGGAGGAAGAGTATTCCTGAGAAAAAGTCATCACTGCAATGACTGCTCAGGCAGCCCAGCGACCTGCAGAAGGCTAGTGTGCAGGAGCGGGAAGCAGGAGGAGGGCTGGGAGAGGACTCTGCAGAAAGAGGCAGGGCCGGGTCGCGGAGACACTTTCAGGCCATATTTAAAAGCTGGTATTTTATTCTGAGCACAGTAAGAGGATTTTTAAACAGGGAACTGACATCATCTTATTTATATTTTTAAATGATCACGCTGGGAGCTTGGTGGAAAATAGACTGTCAGGGGGTAGGGGTAGGATAGAAATGGAAACAGATGAAAAGCCTAGTGCAGTAGTCCAGGTGAAAAGAAAACAACGCAAGGGGCCCAGGGCAATGCCAGTGGTGCTCAAGATGAAAATATATGCTGATGGAGAAAAGTGGGGTTCTCTGCACATCTCACCCCTCAGCCTGGTGTACAGGACCTCAGTTAAATGTAACCTGAGTTTTTAGGTCATGCATGAAGCTCTAGATGAGAGTGGAGGGGAGGAAAGGATCCTGAAAAGCCTTTTCCACTAACCCTATCCAGGGGCTCCCTACAAAACCAGCTGCTCTGCCAAACACCCCAGCTCAGCCCCTCACCCCTCTGGCAAGGCCCAGCCCCAGCACCTGCCCTGCCATGCCTTCCTCAGTGCCACCTACTCTCCACCCTCCCCAGAGGTGGCTCTTGCCTGCTCCCCTCAGAGCCCTTTGCACATCCTGCCCTGTCAAAAGCACTGCAGTGGCACAGCCATGAATTCCAGTTTGGGTTCCACCACTGACTTGCTGCAGGATGGGTAAATCCCATAATCTCTCCCAAGTGGCCAATGTGCCACGAATGTAAATGCAACACCGAACTAATGGAACCCAAAAGACGTAATTCAAACATTTGTTTATCTGTGCCTCTCACAGACCCCCTCCACTGATAAAACTTCAGCAGTCCCTGGACATTTTCTGTTTCCCTCCCTCTCCTCTCCTTCCTAGTTGTGGTACATGGTTGGGGAGGAAAGTGAATGGAAAGCACAGGAGGTTGTAAACCAGCTCCAGGCCATCCGGGCCTGCCTGATACTTAAAGCTCTCAGAAATCTTTCTTGGTTTTTTGGAGGGTCCTCTCCCCAACTCTCAGCTGCGACTCACCTTGCCAGGGGCCATGCCTCCATCTCAGTGGGCAGTTTCCCATAACCCTCACCTATTCCAGGGTTACAGCCCACAGCCTCCTTCTACAGGGATGTGCTCTTCCCACAGGCCACCATCTTGGGCAGGATTCTCTTAAGTGGCTCCTGACTGATATTGCTACTGCAAGTTCTCATACCATCCCCAAGAGTCAAGTAACATCGACCCACTCTCAAAGAGGAGTCTGTGTTTATCCGCACAGCAGCCACGCTCTCTCTCCCTTCTTCTGCCCCGTGCCTCCGGCCTAGGGGCACAGCCTGTAGTCTTCAGATCCCTCTGGGTCCGTTGACTCCAGGCAAGGCGTCCCTTAACTGCAGTCACACGTGTCAAGTTTTCCTAAGGTGCTGCTGAAGCCCTACTCCCACTGGTTTGGGAGAAGGGAACAGCACCCTCCACCCCTCTGCCTGGAGGAACAGTGTTCATGGCACAGCTCACACCACAGAAAGCCTCTGCCTAAGTTTTCTCTCCTTAGTTCCTGGACTATGTCTTTGAAAGCTGGAAACACAGTCCCAGCCACACAGGTAACCAGAGCCCCTGGGCACTTTATCGTCACTAGGTCTGAGCAGACTCTCCCTCTTGCATTTCTTCCACCTTCATGGCCAGAGGAACAGAGGTTGTCCAGGCTCCCAGGAAAACATGGCTCTCTCTATGGTTACCTCGTCCAGATGCAAGAGCCCTTCAACCATAATCCAGCTCCTGAGGGCAAAAGCAGATGAAGAGAGAGCCACTCATGCTCTGCTTTGCGGTGTCCAGTCCACGGTCTTTCAGAACAGCCACCCCTGAGAGCTGAAGGCTGGACTGTAGAGAGGGAGAGTGAAGCCCTGTCTGATGCGCCACGGGCCAAACCTGCTGCTCATCTAAATGCAGAGGGCTCTGCCCCTGACCATGGAGTCGGTGCCAGCTGTTCTGGGCTGGTCAGCACTGCCTACCCGCATCAAATGCTCTTCCTTTCTCAAGCCCCCTCATGGGAGCAGTTGGAGAGCACTTGCTGAAGGGGCAGATTGTGTCTGGGGAAGTTTTCCCCTTTGGGCTGACCCAGAAGTGAGATGGAAAGAGCTCAAGGATGATGTCTGTGATTCTTCTAGATGTGCTCACTGAGGGGCGTCTGGGAGCTGCCACTGGGGTTCCCCTCCAAGGCGGCCCCATAGCTCTGGGTTGAACGGTGCAGTGATGGGGAGGTGAGAAAGGATCCAGGAGTCCAACCAAGGTGGGCTTCATTCATAGTTCAGCCGCTCACTAGACTAGCCGTGTGGCCATGGTAGGTCGCTTCCCTTCTTCTTCACCCTGGACCTCCCTTCTCGTGACACTCATCTCAATTGCAACTGCTTGTGTCGAACCTGTCATCCCAGCCACAGTGCAAGCTCCCTGAGCACACAGGCCAGGCCTTGGTGTTCCACCCTATGTCCTGGCCCTAGCACAGGGCCTGGCCCATGGGAGGTCTTCAGAAAAAAGAAACACCTGAGTGAATAATATGAACAGTAACTCTCCTACACTATAAACTAAATGATTCTATTATTAATCCAGAAACAGTTGCAGTATCAATACCACCCCTAGACTGAGGCAAGAGAACATGCCATCCAATTGGGCCTCTCAGGCCACAGGAGGTTGTAGGAAGGGGAAGTGAAGGATTATGGTTTTTGTCCTGGGTTTTTGCCAGGGCCACAATTTACTTCAAGTCACATACCCCAGATCACCCCAAGTGGACATCCAGACAGACAGATCGCTGTGCCTTCTACTTCACCTCTGCTTGGGTGACAGTTTCAGGAAACCCTGGCATCCTGGGCAGCTTGATAAGTCGGTCTCCATCCCAGGTCCAGTGGGTCCACGTGGGTCCAGGTAACCTGGGAGCCTGGGCCACCTTCTGCCCCACCTGCCTTGACAGGGCCATGAAATCACTCAAGTTCACAGGCAGCAGGACAGGCCAGGAAAAGAACACCAGCATCATTCTCTGGGGATCACACTGCAGGGCCCTGAGTAAGAACATGATGGCTGTGGATGTGGCATTATATACAACTTTAAAATATTTAGGCACATGCTATGTGGGCTTCATTTGTACACTTGCTTCAAGCCCTGCAAATTCAGGGGTGTATCTGCATGGTTGCTCGATGCTCAGGCTTAATTAGCCATGAGCTATCATTCCTTTGTGCTTTTAATCAATCTTTTTAAAGTTCCTTCTATGTGCTGGATATTGTGCTAGTGTCAGGTTCTTTAAGGATCTCATTGTCCTCATCAGCTTCTCCAGTGAAGCTGACATTGTTCCACAAAGTCTCATGCTTAGTCATGAACTACAAGTTCCATCCAGACCCACCTGGCTTTCTTTCACCCCATCCTTGCCAATTTTACCCCAGTACTGAGGCTTGGATCAGGTCCCCCCACCTCCCTCTTAATCTACGTAACTAAGTAAATCCAAGCAGCGCTTCCTGTCTTAGCCTACACATCATTACCCAATAAGCAAACCTTTCCCAACTCAACTCAGGAGAACTTTCTTCAGAAAAAACTTTCCTGGCCTTCACAATTGGATTAAGCCTCCGTCAGAGGCTCTTGTAAATATCAGATATCTTCTTAGCATGTCACACTGGCAACTTTATGCTCCGGGATTGGATGAATAACTCTCTCCCACACTAGGCTGTTGAGTTTGATGGGCTCTACCGGATTCACTGTTGAATCTCTAGGGCTCAGCACAGTGTCTGACACAGAGCAGGCACTCCAGGAATATTTACTGATTGAATTAAATAAATACAAGGTAATGTATGGATAAATTCAATACATATTTCATGGCTTGAATTTGACTAACACTTACTGGGTTTTCATAAAACATACTATGAGTTAAGGCAAATAGTACCAAATGAGAACCATTAACATGTATTTTCGTGGAGCGCAAACAAAATAACTTTGTCTAGCTATGGAATGTATGGGGAATTCATGAGAGGCTGAGAAGAGACGGTATAACTACATTCTGTGGTCAGTTCTGCTCCCATCCTGCTCTGCTTGCACTCTTTACTAAGCGCTACTTTTCCTGATATTTTGTTTTTATGAGTCCTCATCTCTTCTTCTCTTTTTTCGTCCTATGTGTTTTTCAAATGCATTCATCATCAGCAAAATTAATCTAATAGGCATGCCCTTTGACCCAGAACTTTCAACTGAAGGATTCCAGCTCCTAGAAATATTACTGGCATTTCAAATGACATAATACAAAGAGTATTCACAGCAGCAGTGTTTGTCATGACAAGGAAATGGAAACAAGATGCCTGCCAATAGAGGAATAGATTCATACATTCACACTATGACCTTGCAAATAATGTGGTAGATCTATGTTCTGATGAGGAAAGCTGCATCTAATATCTGGCCAAGGAGGAAAAAGGCAAGTTGCCATGTAATATATACATTATGATCCCTCCCCCACAATCAACGTATATGTTTGCATACATGTGGTAGAAATTACAAATTAAATTGCAACAATGGTTACCTTTGAGGAAGGACTTGGAAGGAGCTTGGGGAAGTCACTGTTACTTCTTGCTTTATACTCCTCTGTATTATCCAAATTTATGACAAAAGTATGTTAGATTTCCAGCTTAAAAACTCCAGTAATGTAAGCGATTAATTTGCTTGTTTATGATCTGTTTCTCCTCTCTAGGATGTAAATTCCATATAAGCAGAGACTTTGTCCACCTTTTCTCACCGTCATCTCCACTGTGCTTACAACAGTGCCTGGAATACAGGAAGTGCCCAATGCATATTATTTGAGTGACAGATCAATTTTTTAAAAAGAAAATTCCATTTTGACAAAATCTATCTTTCATATCCCCCTCGCCAAACCCTCCATGTTCTTATTGGTGAAGTGACTGGGTGCTGAGGAATCTGAAATTCTCTGCCTCACATGGTGGGCCTTGAATTGAGGTTGCCCTCTTCCCTGAATCATTGGTTCCCATGATAAACGGGTTGAAAAGCCATAAGGCCTCCTGCACACAAATGTGAAAAAGACTCAAAGTTCTTAAGCGATAGGGTTTCAAGCAACAAAGAATGGGTTATTTTAAAAAAGAAACCTTGATATTGGTTTAAAGTTAATCCCTTCAAAAAGTAAGAGCTAAAAAAGAACACATTAAGTTAGAAACAAGGAACAAAAGCCTGTGCTGTCTGTTCAATCATTGAAAGGTCACAACTGTTTAACCACCAGATAATTCGACTTTAGAAGAGTCCAACAAAACCATGAAAATATAATACATTATAGCTTAGGAAAAGATCTGCAAAAATATGCACTAAATTGTATTCTGTGGTTACTGCTTCTCTTTAACTTTCCCTTTGCTTTACTGCAGAACCAACATACAGCCGCTCAGGAATGCACACAATCTCAAGGACCCATGGGCTGCCTTGCCTTTTCTTCGCGAGTGGAATTGTAGAGTTTGGGGACCATGATGCAGAGTGAGAAACTGGTCAGGTCCAAAGATGTCAGAACTCAGGGGTTTCATGTTGTGCACAGACAAGGAAGAGAAAAGAGGGAGTATGTCAGTCATATCGCCTGGACCAGATGGTTCTGGGTTTGGGAATCCTCATTTCTTGCATCTTACAGTTACATAAATCTATTACTTCTGTGCTTTTGGTTTTTTTCTTTACTGTATCAACAGACTACTGCAGGGGTCATAGCCTGGACATGGCCAACCAGAAAGATACTCAAGGAATGCTCAATGGAAGAAAGCAGGTACACTTGATCCCTGCATAGAGCCGCAGAAACAAATGTCATTTGTGAATTTAACTGCTAGAGGCTGATGGAAATACGATGCAAACAACCTAAAGAACTTCCAGCTCAATTAATGATTCTTTTTTATCTGTAATCTTTATTTGTAAAAGAGAAACCTATTGTTTTTCCCTTAAGTTGTGATGCCAGCGTAATGTGATCTCATGCAATGTGGGTGAAAGTTAAATGATTTTTTAAAATAAATTTATAAGAGTAAGTTTAATAAGTAGAAAACGTTGAATTTTATCTTCAAGGTAATATTTACAGAACAATAAAATGGAGCATGTGCTTTGAGATGAGGAGAAAGTAACAAGACACTTTCACATTTAGCTTCATTCTGTTCCATATCATCAAATTTGTTCCCTGTATCAGGAAGTAACAAACATAAAGAGATAAAAAGTGATCTAAGAAAGGGGGGCAAAATCTATGGTTTACTCCAAATGCTGTATAAGTCCCTTGGGTTTCTTTTTCAGGAAGTCAATTCCCTGTCCCATGACTGCCAGTTAGGGCTTGTGGCTTCTCACCAATGTTCCCCCATAAAAATCAGCTCAAGGTGTGACTGCAGCTCAAGTCTGATCTCTCCTGGTCAACTGGGAAATTTACAGGGGACGCTCGCACTTTACCAGGGAACAAAATTCTATGCCACAGGAAAGAAACTGGAGGGGGATTATTTGCAGGCTGGAAAGACTATTGGTATGACAGTGGAGGGAGATGCTTATAAAATGTTAAGCAATGTGATATTTTTATAAGGTAAGAGACCATATACAAAATAAATCTAATACGTGTGATTTAGAGCACAGGCTTTGCGGTCAGAGACCTGAAGGCAAATATTTCTCTGCCGTTTACTTTGGGCAAGTCACCTGCCTCTCTAAGGCTCAGTTTCCTCATCCATCAATTGTGTGTAATAAAAAGACAGTGCGGTTCTGAGTAGTCAAGTGCTCAATAAAAAGTAGCCATTCACAGAAAGACAAACTTAGCATGTTCTCACTCATTTGTGGGAATTAAAAATTAAAACAGTTGAATTCATGGAGATAGAGAACAGAATGATGATTACCATGGGCTGGGAGGGGTGGTAGGGAGGTAAGGACATTGGGGATGGTTAGTGGGTACAAAAATATAGTTAGATAGAATAAACAAGATACAATGTTTGATAGCACAATGGGGTGATTACAGTCAACAGTAATTTATTGTGCATTTAAAAATAACTAAAAGAGTATAATTGGAATGTTTGTAACACAAAGAAATGATAAATGTTTGAGGTGCTAGATACTCCATTTACCCTGATGTGATTATAATGCATTGTATGCCTGTATCAAAATATCTCATATACCCCATAAATATATACTCTATGTACCCATAAAAATAAAAAATAAAATTTAAAAGTAGCTATTACTTTTTACCTTTTATGAGATGCATAAGCTTTTTAACTAGAGTAACAAGAAATTACACAAACATGCATAAATGGAAATTATTCATGTTTCTTTGACAAAAATGTGGGATTGCTTTTATTTGAGGGACATTGTTAGTATGAATGCTTCAAAAACAGAGTCAATAATCATCCGACATTAAATCCAAATCAGTGTACTCTGTACACCTGCCTACATGTCTGCATGAGCATGGGTGCTCCCCAAATACCTGTAATTTGTAAGAGCCATTTAATATTTACTTTCATTTTTCTTTCCCCACTCAGAGTTCTTCCATTTCTCCCGACTGAATCAAGGAGAAATCTCCCAGGAAGGCGAAACCTCTGGACCACCAAGTCCTTGAAGTAGGTTGACCCACTGCCACAGTTTTAATGGGAGTGTCTCAGTTTTAGCACTTAATAATGTCATGCCCCAGAAGCTCCACCAGTCTTCTGCAAACCGGGGTGGTGGTTTCCTCTACCTGGGAGCCTGGCACCCCAGCCAGGACCTACAGGATTACATCTGTTGACTGCACTCAGTTTTACTTCAGTGCAGGTGGTGTTTCTTTCCCTTGGTAGAATTCTTTCACTAACACCCCTGTGAGTCTTGTCAGATGTGATTAAACTACGGGCAACACAAATGGAATGAAAAGAAGGAGGTGGAATTTTTTTTTTTTTTTTAACCTATCTGACAGGTAAGACTTGAGATGAACCGGGGGGTTAAAGAAGGGTATGCGTGCCTCTGGGTGCTTTGCTATCTATGTGCTCACACACAGGAAGGAGTGTGTGTAACGTACTGGGGAAGAGACCGTGGGAAGCCCGAGCTGGGCAGAAGCCCCTGGAAAGTGGGGGAGGGGAAGGCAGCCGTGGCTGCAAAATTGAGGCACACAGTTCCCCATCATGGCCTCCAGAGGGCGCCATCAGCCCGCAGTGATTCTTTGCCTTTTGAGGCGGGCAGAAGGAAGTCGATCCACCTGGAGGGTAAGGAGAGCTGCAACCCACTGCCTTCAGGGCTGGGGCATGCAAGAACGAAGTGGACCACTCGCAGTGCTTGAATGTTCTCCTTGTTAACCCCAGCAGGGATAAGCACCTCCGCCTCATAAGATCAAAGCTCTTTCGTTCCCGCTTTAACGTTGCCAGTCTCCTTTACTTCGGAAAGAATGAGAAACCTCATCCTAGCAATCCCAGGGATCTGTGCCCTCCAGAGGAAGATCTCTGCAAAGCTGTTTACAGCGGGTTGTGTGGAGGCCAGCTTCTCTGGCACGGCGCGGTGTTCCCGTGGAGCGTTTCCAGGGCGCGGAGGCCCAGGGTCACCGGCTCGAATGAATAGGAAGCTGATTGCCGCTCCACACTGATGGATGTATATTTGTTACATCTGAAATGTTCTGAGAAAAGAACTGCTTCTGAAAAGAAGAGCTTTGTGTGAGCACAGTGAACATGAAGGGCGAGATTCCAAAACCTTTAGGGGGGTTTTCTTTCTATGCAAGAATGAGACACAGAAAGCTGTTTCCAGCATCCTCTGGTAATCTAGGAACACCTGTGGAAAAGCGTTCCCCCGTCTCAATCCCAGGGGTGGGAATCAGGAAGTACAGAAGCTGCCATCAGAGCCCAGGTCTGGCTCTGTCACTGCCCCTTGGGTGACCTCGCGGCAAACCACTAGAGAGCCAGGCCTCAGTTTTCTCATCTGTAAAATGAGGAGCCCGACTGGAGGGTACCCAAGTTCCCTCCCAGGTCTGGCACTTCCTGAGGGTCCTATTGTTCACCGAAGAGCTAATAATGCTAGTTCTCAAATTTTTTGCTCTTGGGACCCCTTCACAAATCTTAAAAGTACTGAGCCTCCCCCCACCCCATGGATCTGTGGGGGCTTCTTTGGCTATTTGGCAGGCAGTACTAATCAAACTAACTGACATATAAGAATTTTAGTTTATACTTCAAGTGTCTAAGGCTCTCTCCAAGGGCCTTCTCTCTGCCCTGTGGTGTTTACATTTGTCTCGGTTGATGTAAGGCACTGATTATGGCCTCTGGATGCACACTGGAATCACCTGTAGAGCTGAGATGTAACCTCAGACCAATTCCCAGAGATTCTCATTTAGTTGGTCTCTGCAAGGTAGTGGGGAGGGGGCTACCAGGTGATTTTTAATGTGTAGCCAGGCTTGAGAAGGGCCACTCTGATAGCTCTATGGTTCTCAAAGTGTGGTCCCAAGCCAGCAGCATCTGTATTACCTGGGAACTTGTTAGAAATTCAAATTCTCAGGCGTGCCATGGACCTACTAGGGCGGAGCCCAAGAATCTGTTTTAACAGGTCTTCCAGGTGATTTGAATACATGCTACAGTTTGAGACCCAGTGTTCTCGATTGCCACACCTCCACGGCTTCCACTCCCACCTTCACCATCACCTCCATCAACTAAGTAAGCCCATGAAAATGTTTCAGGTTCCCATCTTCCAAGGTGCAGCTGTCTGTGTTTGCAGTGGTGACAGGGGCTTGGGTGACCGTGGCATCATTTGCATGCGAGGAGCTGCTGGGCTCTTGAGAGAATGGACCAAAGGCCACTAAATGCCACACACACATTCCATTCAGCAAATATTTATTGCATAAATATGTATTGAGGTACCAGGCTATTGCTGAGGGCATCACCTTACAGAATGCTTGCTGCATAGGAGATGCTTCAGAAATGCTGGCTGAGTGGAACCTCAAGGCATTGTTGCAGCCATTCATGCTGCCTAAGAATTATGCATCCTGTTTACTCTGTCCTCACCTTTGACATGTGGAAGCCCTAATCCTTGGGAATCCTGAAAAACAAGGGTCCCTCTGGCATAGCGACCAAAAAGAAAAATCACAACGACACCTAGCCTATGCTAGCCTCGCCAACAATATTGCTTTTTGCAAAGAATGGAAAATATTTGCAAATGGTTGAATGTTGAATCATGGGTTCTATAATATTAGTTAATCTTTATAGAAATTCCATTTTACTATGGAAACAATAGGTTAATTGTTAGAGTGGACGGAGATCTGTAGGACTGTCTCCTCCACACTCACATATTTGTTTTTCTAGAAACTGCCACCTACCCCATCCATATTTCTCATAGGAGCTCTCTCTGTCTCTCTCTCTCTCTCTCTCTCTCTCTCTCTCCCCGCCTTTTCTCTCTCTCTGTGTATAGTACATGACCCAACAACCTAACCCCCCGCCTTTTTCTCTCTCTCTGTGTATAGTACATGACCCAACAACCTAACTGGCACTCAATCCAAGGTGGGCTACTGACTCTTGACTCCTTTGCTTAGAATTTTTTGGACTTGACACTGAGCAATCTCCCTATGGTGACTGAAGCTGGAAGGTTCAATATTAGGGTTCTCCATAGATATGGGACCAATAGGGGGTGTGTGTGTGTGTGTAGAGAAAGAGAGAAGAGAGAAGACAGATAGATAGATAGATAGATAGATAGATAGATAGATAGATAGATAGATGATAGATAGATAGATAGATAGATAGATAGATAGATAGATAAAAAGCATTTATTATGGGAATTGGCTAAGACAGGTTGTCTGCGAGCTGGAAACCCTGGGATGCTGGTAGCATGGCTCAGTCTAAGTTCAAAGGGCTTGGAACTAGGGAAGCAGGTGGTGTAATTCTCAGTCCAAGGCTGAAGTCCTGAGAACTGGGGGTGGGGTGGAGGACTGTGGTAAGTTTTAGAGCCTAAAAGTTGGAGCCTGGAGTTCTGATGTCGAGGGAACAGAAGAAAATATACCCCACATCCAGGATGGAGAGGGAGGAACTCACCTTTTTGTTCTATTTGGGTTTCCAGCTGATTGGATGGTGCCTGCCCACACTGAGAGCAGATTTTCCCCTCTCAGTCCATTGACTCACTTGGCAGTCTCCTCTGGAAATAGCCTCCATGACATACTCAGAAATAATCATGTATTTACCTGTTCTTTAGGTAATCCTTAATCCAGTCAAGTTTACATCTAAAGTGAACCATCACAACAGACAAGGATGAAGTTGATGGATATGTTTCCGCTGACATGGAGTGATCCAGTCTGCAAGGAAGGAGAAGGAAGCTGGCCACACACACACAGCACGGGAGGAATGAGGGGAGGCTCCTCACGCACCTCAGTAACTTGGCTCTAGTTATTCCTGAAGCCCATTTGCATCCCCACTCTTTCCCACACTTGGTTTTTCAACACTTTCTTTTAGATTTTTGTGGCTCAAATCAATTCCCCTTTGAGATGAAGCTAATTGGGATTTGGTTCTGTCACCTGTAACCATAGCCCTAACCAAAAGAGGTGTTTGAACAGCTTTAGGGTGATTAAAATGAGTACAAAGGGGGAAGTCCACCAATAGCTCTGACATTTTGGTTTCTGTCACCTTATGTCTTTCTTAAACACATGAATTTTACCAGATACACTTTAAGGGTCAGTTTTATAGTTTTGTTTGTTTGTTTGTTTTGCAAACTTTTAATTGAATGATAACATACATACTAAAAATACTGCACAATCATAACTTTTCACAAATACACATACCTGTATAACCAACACCCAGATTAAGAATCAGAACAGGCTGGGCATGGTGGCTCACACCTGTAATCACAGCATTTGGGGAGGCCAAGGCGGAAAGATCACTTGAACCCACCCAGGAGTTCAAGATCAGCCTGGACAACATAGCAGGACTTCGTCTCAACTAAAAATAAAAATGAAAAATAGCAGGGCATCGTGGTGCGTGCCAGTAGTCCCAGCTACTCAGGAGGCTTAGGCAGGAGGATTGCTTGAGCCCAGGAGGTTGAGGCTTGGTCATGCCACTCCACTCCAGCCTGGGTAACAGAGCAAGACCCTGTCTCAAAACAAAACAAAGAAACAGTAAAGAATCAGAAGATATCTAGCAACCTCCCAGTCAGCATCCCCTCACCTCAAGGTAGCCATGCTCCTGACTTCTGACATCATGAAACATTTTGCCTGTTTCTGAACTTTAAGGAATCATACAGGATGTTCTCTTTCATGTCTGGCTTCTTTCTTATTGGTAAGAGGCATCCATGTTGTTGCCTGGGGCTGTAGTCTATCCTTATTGCTGAGTAGTATCCCCAGCTTTGTATTTAAATGTTATTTTTCTTAAAGTAGGCTAGAAATCAGTAATAGAAACATAGTAGAAGTAGCTATTTGTTCTCGTGATGATCTATTGATCCTAAAATATCTAAATCAGACAAGCTGCCTGGAACTTTGCAGAAGAGAGAAACTGCTCTTATTAAGTTGGAGGCTTCATTGAGATTCCTCTTAATGCTGCTCAGCTCAAGTGAGGGCATGGGCTGCTTCCTCCTTATGGAGCGGGGAAAACAACAAATGACCCACCTCCTACCCTTGCGCAGAACAGAGCTTCTGAAAGAAAAACATGCTGCAGCTGTCCTTAAAAGTGACCCTTTCAAAAAACCTAATCAGACTGCACATTGTGTGTTTCAGCAAATAGCATTCAATGACTCTAAAGACAAATAATGCCTTACTGCAATTTGTACATAATTTTTGGAAAACAATACTATTCTAATTTTTACCAAGCAAGCAAACAGTAATTTATTCACAGGGCTGTTCTAGTAGACCTTTCTTCACTTGCCTCGAGATACAGATTCTGAATATGAATTTCATCAATGCCTGTAGTTTTGCTTCTTTATCCTCCGTAAGAATTAGAATGCAAATCATGAACCCCAATTCAACTGGCTTAACAAATAAGGAAAATTTATTATTTTTCATCACAAGAAGTATGGGCTAACATTGACAAGAACCTGAGTTCTTTCTTTATCAGACTGACCTAAGGAGAGCCTGGTTGGATCCAATTAGACAGAGGCCATGCCAGGAATCATATCCAGAAATAACAGCTTCCAACAGCAAAATATACTGTCTCTCTCTCTCTCTCTCTCTCTCTCTCTCTCTCTCTCTCTCTCTCTCCTCTCTCTCTCTGAAGAAACCATCCTTAGAAACCTACCACTTCTTATCAGCCAGAATTACATCCAGGTCCATTGGAAAAATCAGCCACTGGCAAAGGGAATGAGATTACCATACTTGGCACATAACAACAGTGTTTATTCCTAAAATGAGGAATACAGTCCCCTCACCTGAGTGACTTTCAAACAGAACAATGGCTCTCCTGGCAAGGGAGACAGGGAGAAGGATTATTGGACTAACAACTACCCAACCATTATCCTCCACAGTCCACCTCTTTGACTTCCCAGCTTCCATACATTGTTCAAAAAATGCTCATACTTCCACAAAATGCACATAGTCCTTCCAGTGAAAAGAACCTAAAGTCTCATCAAGGAAAAAACAAGATAAATCCAATAAAACCTTTCATTCAGAGAAGTGACTGTCATCACTGATCCATAGCACATGTTATTTCCTGAAGGACATCAATAGCAAATACTAGTTCCATGACCCAGGAATCGACTGAGTTTCTCTGTCAGCCTGGTGGATGTCCCTGGTTCCACTCCACTGGAGCCTCCCTTTCCCATTGTCTTCCATGGCCATTTCTGGGGTAAGGGTTGAAGAAGATACCCTCCTGGATGCTGCTGGATTTAACAGCTCACTTCCAGCAGATACAGATTCTATGGTCTCAGAACAATAGGGCTTGAATGGTTCCAGACTTTTATCAGTTTGAAATTCACTTCTGGTCAGGTCCAGGCACTGATAATGGCCAGTCATCTTGTCTGTATGAGGCCTGTGAGAGACACAATCGCTCCTCCTCCCCACGTGTCTCTATGATCTTCCCGCCATCAAGCACAAAGTTTAATGGCCTCCACCTTGAGCCAACTGGTAACAAAAGCCACATGGTGGAAGAGGGTGTGAAGCAGGGGAGGGGTGATGTCACCTGTGATCCCAGCCATCCTGGGTGCACCTAAGCTAGACGGTGCCTCCTGTCTTACAAAGGATGTGTGGTGAGAGATACTAACGGGAGGCATGGGGAATCAGATTGGCTTTTGTCCCAATTCTACCAGTCATACCTCCTGAGAAATTTCTTTTTTCTCTACCTTTTGGGAGGTAAGTAGGAGAAGGACATCAATTTTGTACAAAATTGGGATTTGCAAGCTTGAAAATCTCCAAATTATGGCTTTTAAATCGATTTAGATTCTAGGTTATGGGCAGGAAGAGTCTGTATTAGCAAAATTTGACTGTCTTCCCTTTCTGCATCTAGACATGTCACTTTTCACCTAAACTTGCCTCTTAGACTATCCCTTTCTCAAAAACTTCAAGGAATAACAAGCATGTGCCGGCCGGGCATGGTGGCTCAAGCCTGTAATCCCAGCACTTTGGGAGGCCGAGGCGGGCGGATCACGAGGTCAGAAGATCGAGACCATCCTGGCTAACACGGTGAAACCCCGTCTCTACTAAAACTACAAAAAAACTAGCCGGGCGAGGTGGCGGGCGCCTGTAGTCCCAGCTACTCAGGAGGCTGAGGCAGGAGAATGGCATGAACCCGGGAGGCGGAGCTTGCAGTGAGCTGAGATCCGGCCACTGCACTCCAGCCTGGGCGACAGAGCGAGACTCCGTCTCAAAAAAAAATAAAATAAAATGAAACAAGCATGTGCCAATATCCCTGATTTTCCTACCAATACCTCTAACCCTACAGTGTCCATAGGCACATGATCAGAGTCCTGAAGTCCAACTTGGGACAAAATGACCAAAACCTACAGACTCAGAAATTTTGAAATATGGCTTTTACTGTTGTAAAATACTTAAGAGCTACATGTAGAAATGAAGGAGTTGACCACCAGCTGAAGTCAGGAACTATCACACCCAGTTTCACATTTTCTCTATCATATACATGTGTAAACTCCAGTTTCCCTCTGCCTACACCACCTTTCCAGAAATTGTTTTAGGATCTACAGGGAAGGGAGACTCTTTTCCTCATAAGTAAACACACTTTAAAAAAGATATTTGAAAACATACTTTGAAAACAAGATGAATCACAGCAAACAATATAAAATATAAATCTGAAAATAGATCAGGATATACTGCTTACACAGGGGGAGGATCATATCATTTTGATAAGAAGAACTAAAGGTAATATAGCATTGAAAATATGTTTGTCTGGCTGGGCATGGTGGCTCATGCCTGTAATCCTAGCACTTTGGGAGGCCAAGGTGGATCACCTGAGGTCACCTGAGGCCAAGGTGGATCACCTGAGGTCTAGCCAACATGGCAAAACCCTGTCTCTACTAAAAATACAAAAATTAGCCGGGCGTAGTGGCACATGTTTGTAATCCCAGTTAAGAGGCTGAGGCAGGAGAATCACTTGAACCTGGGAGGCAGAAGTTGCAGTAAGCTGAGACCATGCCACTGCACTCCAGCCTGGGTGACAGAGTGAGACTCCATCTCCAAAAAAAAAAAAAAAAGAGAGAGAGAGAGACAGAAAGAGAGAATGTCTTTGTTCATTGAGATTTTTAACTTTTAGAAAAGATAATATGAAGTTCTGTTCATTAGGGACAATGCCAGTTAAAGTTTGGTTGGTTTTAAGGCAGAAGCTCGTCTTCAGTGTTCCATTAATAGCCAATTGATTTTCCTCTATGACACTGGGAGGAAATATGAGGGAGGGTTCACCATTGATCCTTCTGAGCTCTGCACTCTTATTCAGATTCTAATCTGGCAACATGCTGCACAAACACTAGCACTAACACCAGCGTCTGGGGCTTCACTATGTGGTTCTGATGGTATGATTCTCACCATGCGTAGGTTTGATGATATCTAAGCCATATCAACTTCCCTTCCAGAAAGGAGTACTCCCATTTAGTTTTGAGTTGAACGTTAATCAATTCCCTTTACACAAGTTCAGCATAGTTGAACAAAACCATGTTCCAAAACCAAGGTTGATGCAATACATCATGTTCACCAATTTATCCCTATGGTTAGTACATTCCTGACACACGGCCAGTGCTCAATAACTACTTACTGCCTAGATGAATACATAAAAAAGACATAGCCACTGAGCAGCTCGGACAGCCTTGGCTTGGAATATTTTGCTGGTCACATTAAGTTATTTGCAGTTTACTAACAACAAAGGCATG